TTCAATGGGGGAAAGGACCAGACCGTAGAATAGAAGTATTAGTAGTCTTTGCTCAATATTGGAAGCAGCCATAATCCTCATTGCAGATAGACCTTTGCGTGCTTTTGTTATCACATGGTCAACGTGTTCCCTGAATGACAAGCTGCGATCGAACCTCACCCCGAGAAACGTCATAACGTTGGTTCTGATCAATACATTATCACGCATTTTCACTTCTGGTAAGTCCGACTTGACAATGTGATTGTTCAAAGAGAACCATGACACTGATGCCTTCGAAGGATTGACATAGGCATTGGAACCATCACACCAAGCGGAAATTCGATCGAGTTCTTTGTGCATAGTGTTGGCGATCTCCTGTCTATCACGCCCTCGTCGATAAATCAAAATGTCATCAGCAAATGACAAAGTCCTTCCCTTTCCATTCAACTGCTGCTCAGTGATCATCACCGTGTAAACGTTGAATAAGACTGGTGGCAAGCCTGGACATATCGTTTGCGGTTCGGAGGACCAGCTACCACATCTTAGTACAATCTTTCTCTGGAACAGGACCGCAGCAATCCAGCGGATCAGAATAGGATTAACTTCTAGTTTAAGCAGTAATTGCATTAAATAATCGTATGGTACTTTACTGTAGGCATCTTCTAAGTCCAACACTGCCGCACATGTCTCTTCTTTAATCTGAAATCCCTCGTACACATCGTAGGCGAAAACTGCAGCATTGAACCATGTCTCTTTATTTAACCTGTACCCTCCAAGTGTTGGTGGGAACTTATCATGTAGTTCCAAGTAGGTGGTCAATCTTTGTGCGACAATTTTTTCCAAAAGTTTGCCAACAGTATTCTGCATCGAGATGATTCTGTAGCCGCAGATTTTCGAGTGGTCTTTATTAGGCTTTGGTAGTGGAAACAAATAACTATGGAGCCATTCCTCTTGTATCTGGCCACTCTGGATGCTGATATTGAATTCCTTTGCCACGCTTTTCAAATCAGCATTCGACATCATCAGCATGTCGTTGTATCGGATGCCGTCAGGGCCTGGAGCAGTGCTGCGCGATTTCTTGAGGCAAGTTCTTAAGGTATCTGCAGTGATTGTGAGATCAGTGCCTAACACAGTGTTCTCGCACAGCATCGACAGTTTCAGCTTAACCCCTATTCTTGTAGCTTCGTCTTTTTGGTCAGTTTGCTCCAAGTAGCGCGCCAGAAGGGTTTTTCCTTTATCAGCATCAGTTCTCTGCCATATCAGGTCTGTACCCTGAAAATCAGGGATACCTCTAGGTCGTGCGGCGCCGTGCATGCTCCGTTGAAGGCGCCAGAATGTCACAAAAGATCCCTCGGAGCAAACGCTCTTGCAGAATTCGCTCCATTTCGCTGTCTTAGCTTCCTTAGCAATTACCTTGAAAGCCACTGTCTGCTTGTTGACCTCATCTTTCAGATTGATCAGGCGTTCAGAAAGTGACGGATCATTTTTTCTTGCCTTTTGCCATGCCTTGACAGCTTTCCTTTTTTCTAGCCACGCCATGTTGACTACTTCATTCCACCATGGTGGCTGGGCCCATCTCTCCCGCCGTCTGCGATCTACTCTTGTTTTACGTCGTCGGATTTTGCTAATGGCATCTTGCCCTGTACGGTCATATATAAAAGCAGGCACATTGATTACATGACCTTTGTTGTTGCTCTTCTCTACCAGGACGACGCAAGGAAAGTGATCACTGTCGTGGTATCCCAGTGTGCTCCACCTGCATCCTGATGCAATGGAGGGAGACACTAGGGCCAGGTCAATTACGCTGTCAGAATCCCCTTGTCGTGTTGCCATTCGGGTAACCTTTCCGTCGTTCAAGCATACCAGTAAGTGTTTATACACTCATATGTGATACAGTGTATGATGTCTCTGTGACAGAGGTAGTATATCTGACAGAGGAATATGTCATGGCCCTGTTCATGTAATTACACCCTCTAACTGGCACTCAGTTCTCACTCCTTGCCCCCCCTCCCCCCAGTAGCTGCTAACATCTCTCAATGACCACATTCTGGATAATGGTTACCACATGGCCAGCAAAATTAAGTAAGGGAAGCTGACGGGTGAACAAACTCCCACTCATATCATGCTTGTCTATCCACTATGTAAAGACAAGATTCAGCCTGCCATGAATAGAAACCTCCAAGCTGAAGACAGGATTCAGCAAGCAATGTGTAGGAACCTCAAATGAAGACAGGACTCATCTAGCCATGTGTAGGAACCTCCAGCTGAAGACAGGACTCATCTAGCCATGTGTAGGAACCAGCTGAAGACAGGACTCATCTAGCCATGTGTAGGAACCAGCTGAAGACAGGATTCAGCAAGCAATGTGTAGGAACCTCCAGCTGAAGACAGGACTCATCTAGCCACGTGTAGGAACCAGCTGAAAACAGGATTCAGCTAGCCATGTGTAGGAACCTCCAGCTGAAAACAGGATTCAGCTAGCCATGTGTAGGAACCTCCAGCTGAAGACAGGACTCATCTAGCCACGTGTAGGAACCTCCAGCTGAAGACAGGATTCTACCAGCATTATGTAGTTACCTCCAGCTGAAGACAGGATTCTACCAGCATTATGTAGTTACCTCCAGCTGAAGACAGGATTAAGCTAGCCATGTGGAGGACCCTTCAGCTGAAGACAGAATTCAGCTAACCATGTGTAGGAGAGTAAGTGAAGCGTGTGCGTGTGTTGGTCCTGCCTAAAGTGCCCACAATCACTGTGAGGTGTTGCTGTGACTCTCATGCAGTCTCACATTGTTCCAAATGTGCATTTCGTGAAAGGTATCCCCCACAGGCAGGCCCTCCCGTAACTACTGAACTGTGGAGAGGAAGATTACCTGGTATGTATAACCCTGGCAGATGCCCACTTCTGGATGCCACCTACAGACAGTCAACCTGACACAAGAGCATGACCAACGCACACACAATAAATGAGCTCTGCTATAACATCATGTAAGTTATGCATGTAACTTGAAAAGAGACAACAAAGAGGCCAGCAAATTTAGAGAGGATAGAAGATGACAATGCGGTTGCAATGGCTGATTAGAAGCAATGTTATCAATGCCATGCACAGCACCTGTTGCAAAGATAAATCGGCAAAGGATATGATTCCGTATCCCTATCCAGGCTGATGAACATGGAAGTTCAACCTGGAGCTGCACGAAATGAACATTTCACCAAGGGCACCAGATGTTTGATTAATCAGTATAGAATAATTGTCTCAATCTTTTTATACTCTTGTGAAACTACTGGAGAGGAGACTGCGGCCCGTATGGATCTATCCAGGGGGCAGTGATGATAATCCTCAATAACGACTATCTTTTTCTTCTTCTTGTCATCCGTCTGTGCGGGGTAATGGTGTCATACGGACACTTAGCATGACAGACTGGAAAAGCAGGCATGGCTTCCCTTATCTGGACCCGACATTCTCGTGTTATGCCATAGGACATGTTTCTGATGGATGCCTAATCAGCTGACTGATAGTCACAGATATTCAGTGTGTGCCTAAATGTGGCAGCAATGATGCTGAGGGTTGACAAAGAATGTACAAAGACAGGACTTTCAGCAAGATACCGCCCGCAGGAGATGCTGCCCGCCTGTGCTGCGAACAAATCTCTTGGTCTAGGGCTGAATCTCGGCTGATTCAGCAGTTCTTTCACTCTACAGACATATTAACAGAGGGTGGTCATTTAGTAGCATATTAGGCTAGTGGGCTTTACTCGTGTTCCAAATGAGTTTTGATAGATGTTTTCACCCATGCATTGGGGATGGGCTAATAAGAGCCAGAGGATTTCTCAGCACTGCATCTCTAGGGGCTACTAACCTCTGACAGCTCGGTTTATGCTCACCTGAGCCATTATCCATGGTGCTTGACAGCAACAAGTGGCAGCAGGTGAGGTATGGAGTTACTCCTTATACACCTCATAAAAGCCTTAACTTCCCTTCACGCCTGTGAACGAAATCATCGTGCCGCGCATCTCACCTAAATTACATGTACTGCCTCGATTTCAATTGTTTACCATCTGTTTATCTGTATGGCACTGTGTGTCATGATGTCAGTGCATATTTAATAGTGAACTAACCCCTGGTGCAACACAAGTAACCGTTGCTCAAAGCTTGCTGCTGCCAAAACGTTTATTCTGGAGAGACTTTTCTTGGATTTGGTTATAATGTGGTCTAAATTTAAAATAAAATAATATCAAATATCAGCTAATACATGGAATCAGATTCCTCCATGTCAGCACCCATCGGCATTGGTGTTTTGCAAATGTGATTATTTAGTGAGAACCAGGTGACTGCTGTTTTGTATGTATTTATTGTAGCCTCTGAGATGCTGTACCAGGATACGATTTCATTCCTGTTACAGTTTTGAAATGATGTCAGCTCTGCACCTGCATGACATGAGGATGTCATCGGCATATGAGAGAGTTCTTGCTTTGCCACTCAATTGTAGACAATTTAGAGCCCTGAGGCTAACCTGGGCTTTCTGTTATCTGCTCAAAAGACTGACTACCACACTGGCGCACCACCCTTCTCTGGTATAACAGTGTGGCAGATATCCACTGAAAAGGGGAGAGGGGGGGGGTGTCAAGTTGTATTAGCTGACACATTAGTTGGTCATAGGGAACTTCATTGTACATATTCTTGAGATTTTTGGTGACTGTACATTTCAACACCAGCTTGAAAATGTTCAACTGTGCCATGCGCAAAGACTGCAGCATTATGCCTTGTCTCTGAATCTGACATTAAGAAACAGGCCCAGCAGTTAAGACAGAGAAGAAGAAGAACAAGAAGAAGACATAATGACCAAATAATGAAAATAGTCACCAAAACAGATCTCAGCAGTAGAGAAAAACAAGAAGATAAATGGTTTCACACTCACACATGCAAGCATAAACACACACACACCCCCCATCAAGTTTCAGAGGTTAGAAAAAGACAGACGATGACCAACACAGAGTCCAGTAGTAGACACATTTATCACTGACCTAATCCTCGAGAAGCAACATCTGTGGCTAGTAGCAATGGAGTTTTCCCAGTCCTGAACTCTGTGGAAATGAACAGATGACACTGAAAGGTCCACACCTCAAACATAACTGAGTGCTTTTCTACAGTTCCAAACAAAATCTTTCCAGGAAATAAGTGTGAGAGCCAGACGACAGAGAGAGAGAGAGCGAGTGCCAGAGAGAAAGTGGCAGAAAGAGAGAGAGAGCGAGCGAGCAGCAAAAAGAGCGAGAGAAAGACAGCTTAGAATCTATCCAGGCAAGTGAGAGTGCCAGAGAGAGAGAGAAAGAGAGAGAGTGCATAGAATCTATCTAGATGAGTGCCAGAGAGAGAGAGAGAAAACACCGCGTCTATCCAGACAAGCAAGAGTGAGTGCCAGAGAGAGAGAGAGACAGAGAAAGGGGAAGAGGTAGAGTGAGCACAGAATCTATCCAGACAAGTAAGAATGAGTGCCAGAGAGAGAGAAAGCGAGAAAACACACTGTCTATCCAGATAAGTGAGACAGTGCCAGAGAGAGAGAGAGAGGGGAAGAGAGCACAGAATATGAACTTGAAACAACCTACCATGAAGTGCCCAGTCTCTTTCTTGCTGAGATTTGTCTCCATGGATACAGATCACAGGCCACCTACAGATGTACAGGAAGAGTATGATCAGCTCAACAATGTCAGTTCTAAACCCTCTGGCTTCAAGATGCCATCAATCCTGTTCAATTATTCATTTTAAATCCCCAAGAAACCGCAACCCCACCCTCTGGCATAGTCAATGACACTGGTTCTGTTTGCAACTGCAGTGTGTTTAGGAGGGATGGATATTATATTTACTAAAAATTTCATGACTTGTGGAGGGAGTCACTATGAATTTAGTAACTGGTGTCACAATATGAGTCACCAGTTTTTTTTTTGGTAGGCTCAAGGGACTGCAGTCATTTACTCCCCATTTTTCATGTTTATTTATTACTCCCTTTCACATTTCTAAACATATTAAAAAAATATTAACAAATAATTATTTTAATTAATTTATTAGTGACAGGCGTTTTCTAAAGGAATATTTTTTAGAAATTCCTGTGTTCTGTGCTGTATTCTCCAAAGGGGTTCTGAGGTGACAGGGTTAAGATTATCACACTCCCCACCCTCCATGTCTTACTGTGGGTGTTTATGCAGAATGCTCTATTACAGCACTGGTTATGTCTAGTTCTCCCAGCCCATGGTGCTGCTGCCTTGTCGTGGTGGGATGGCTTGAGTACCCTAGTGACTCTCAAAGCTATGCCGGCAAGGGACTTTTTTTCCCTGGCAGGTTTAACCATGCCGAACAGATCTTGAAAAGAAAGACCAGCTAGCACCCTGGTCCTCCAGGTTAGGGGTTAGGCAAAGGGTTGACAACCATTACTGTAAAAAAAAACATACTTTGTTACGGAAACAGGAACAAGTGAAATCATTGAACCGGTGGAAAGAAGTCAAGCTTGCCAGATATTTGGTGAAATGAAGGCTGGGGATCAAAGGTGAAAGGAAGTCAACAGGACAATAGAACGGGAAATGGGATACCATGGGCAGAAAAGCAGCTAACCCACAGCAGTGGAGATCACTTGTGAATGCCTTATGTGTCAACAGCGACATGAACAGGATATAGTTCTCACTGATGAATGCTCTATCTTAGCACTGGCTGTCTACAGTTCTATAAGTTGACCGCTCTTTTACAGCACGAGTTATTTCTATAGTTCGGACTGTTCTATTACAGCACATGCTAGGTCTAAAATTCTGACTGCTTTATCATAATACTGGTTAGGCCTATAGTTCTTACTCTTCTATTATAGCACTGGTTATGCCCTTAGTCCACATTTCTGACTGTTAAAGCACTGCATGTGATTATAGTTGTTAAATTGCCTCATGTGTCTATAATTCTGTTAAAGCACTGCATGCATCTATATTTCTGTCAAAGCTCTGCATGCATATATAGCTCTGTTAAAGCACTGCATGTGTCTATAGTTCTGTTAAAGCTCTGCATGCATATATAGCTCTGTTAAAGCACTGCATGTGTCTATAGTTCTGTTAAAGCTCTGCATGCATATATAGCTCTGTTAAAGCACTGCATTTGTCTATAGTTCTGTTAAAGCACTGCATGTGTCTACAGTTCTATTAGAGCACTGCATGGGCCTATAGTTCTGTTAGAGCACTGCATGAGCCTATAGTTCTGTTAGAGCACTGCATGAGCCTATAGTTCTGTTAGAGCAGTGCATGTGTCTATAGTTCTATTAGAGCACTGCAGGTGTCTAGAGTTCTGCTAAAGCACTGCATAATAAGTCTATAGTTCTGTTAAATAACTGCATGTTTCTACTAAAGCACAAATGGTGAGAGACTAGTTTTTGTTGCATTCAGTAACTAACATAAACAGGAAGCTCACAGAGGCACACAAACGCACAAACACACTAAACTATGTGAATATGGCCAACTTACCCATCTTTTCTCATGCGTCTGGAGATATCATCAGCTTTTCGTTTGGTCTCTACAAAAATGATAGTTTTGTTCTCCTTCTCCTGCATGATCTCTGTCAGGAGCCTCACCAGCCTGTCAGATGATCATAAACATGCTCACTGCAAACCTAAAATCATGTCAATATTCTCCCAATCCTCACTTGTTGAAGATTCTCACAATCCTCACTTGTTGAACATTCTCACAATCCTCACTTGTTGAACATTCTCACAATCCTCACTTGTTGAAGATTCTCACAATCCTCACTTGTTAAACATTCTCACTTGTTGAACATTCTCACAATCCTCACTTGTTGAACATTCTCCCAATACCCATTCTACTTATTGACATTTACATCAAATACATGAGCAGAGGATAGAGAAACAGTACAGCATGTCCTCCATGGTACTGGCTGCCAACAAGAGTCAGACTGCCGCATGTCCCCCATGGTACTGGCTACCAGCAACAGTCAGACTGCAGCATGTCCCCCATGGTACTGGCTGCCAGGAAAAGTCAGACTGCAGCATGTCCTCTATGGTACTGGCTGCCAGCAACAGTCAGACTGCAGCATGTCCTCTATGGTACTGGCTGCCAGCAACAGTCAGACTGCAGCATGTCCCCCATGGTACTGGCTGCTAGCAACAGTCAGACTGCAGCATGTTCCCCATGGTACTGGCTGCCAGCAACAGTCAGACTGCAGCATGTCCCCCATGGTACTGGCTGCCAGCAACAGTCAGACTGCAGCATGTCCTCCATGGTACTGGCTGCCAGCAAAAGTCAGACTGCTGCAGCAAACAAAAAATATAGATCTGAACCTTAAACCTTAGGACAGGCAGGAAGGCAAGCATCTAGACACTTAAGCAACCTTGGCTCGAGGTGGAAGAAAAAAAAAAGAAAGAAAGAAAGACAACAGCCACAAATGATAGTCAGTTTGATGCTGAGAGAAGCAAGAAGACACGGATCAAGTGAGCTGACAGTACAAGTTTATGATGTCAGATCTTACTTGTCTTCCTTCTCAAACTCATTGCAGACATCAATTATCTGCAGGATGTTGTGGTTGGCCGACAGCTGCAGTGCTCCAATGTTCACCTGAACATAATCATGGAGGAAATCTTCTGCTAACTTGCGCACTTCTTTGGGCCAGGTAGCACTCCACATCAGAGTCTGTCTGTCAGGCTGCAAATGAGAGGGAAGGGGGGTCACATCATCATGTTATATACTGTCTCACAGACTGGACGTGGGGGACAGGTCCCATCATCATGTTACACACTAAGAGTGGATGTGGAGGATAAGTCATATCATCATGTTACACACTAACAGACTGGATGTGGGGGACAGGTAACATAACCATGTTACATACTAACAGACTAGATGTTGGGGACAGGTAACATCACTATGTTACACACTGTCTAACAGACTGGATGTGGGGGACAGGTCACATCGACATGTTACACGCTAACAGACTGGATGTGGGGGACAGGCCATATCATCATGTTACACGCATCTTGTTTATCTGAATGGATCAAGTGCGACACAGTATAATGTGAAATCTTTAAATACTGTATGACACTAAATGCAGTTATGGTAATGAAATGCCAACAGGTCAGCTGCCACAATACTGTGACCGAGGACACTCACCCGAACTTGGTCAATAATTTTTCTAATCTGAGGTTCGAAACCCATGTCCAGCATACGATCGGCCTCATCCAACACCAGGTAGGTACAGCGCCGCAAGTTGGTTTTGTTAGACTCCAACAGATCAATCAGACGACCAGGGGTGGCGATACAGATCTCAGCTCCTGGCAAGTTGGGAGAAAAAATGTGGTAAGCATAGATCTTTGCAATTTTTTTCTTTTCTGTCAGCTTTCTCTTACAAGAACATCAGATATTTATGTTTTGCCATTTTCTCTTAATAAGAACAAACTTCTGCAGTAAAAACAAAAAAGTCTGTCCAAAGAACAAACTAAAGTCCCCTCCCAACAAGAACAAGCATGTCTCCCTCCCAAGAGGAACAAACAGCCACCATAATATGAACAAACAGCCACCTATTAACCCCGAAAAGAACAAGCAGAAACTGTAACCCCCCTCCCCCCCCAAATCAAATAATTAGCTGTATGTTCTGCCCACCACTCCCCAAACATAGGTATTATCATCAGCCACTCAGTCCCATTCCCTTATAAGAACAAGCAATTAGATGTCGGCAAAGCAAAAATAAACTGACATACCATCCTCTAGATCTTTAATCTGTGGTCGCTTGGGAGCTCCTCCATAAACACAGGCATTCCGTATGCGAGAGGCATGACCAAACTCTTGAGCCACCTGTTGCACTTGCTGAGCTAGTTCTCTGGTGGGCACTAGAACCAAGCACTGGGGAACAAGTGAACAGTTTTTGTGTAAACACAGGGGGGACAAAAGAACAGTTTCTGTGTAAACACAGGGGGACAAAAGAACAGTTTCTGTGTAAACACAGGGGGACAAAAGAACAGTTTCTGTGTAAACACAGGGGGACCAAAAAAAAACAGTTTTTGTGTAAACACAGGGGGACAAAAGAACAGTTTCTGTGTAAACACAGGGGGACAAAAGAACAGTTTCTGTGTAAACACAGGGGGACAAAAAGAAAACAGCTTTTGTGTAAACACTGGGGTACAAAAGAAAACAGCTTTTGTGTAAACACAGGAGGACAAAAGAACAGTTTCTGTGTAAACACAGGGGGACACAAGAACAGTTTCTGTGTAAACACAGGTGGACAAAAGAACAGTTTCTGTGTAAACACAGGGGGACAAAAGAACAGTTTCTGTGTAAACACAGGGGGACAAAAGAACAGTTTCTGTGTAAACACAGGGGGACAAAAGAAAACAGCTTTTGTGTAAACACTGGGGTACAAAGGAAAACAGCTTTTGTGTAACCACAGGGGGACAAAAGAACAGTTTCTGTGTAAACAAAGGGGGACAAAGGAACAGTTTCTGTGTAAACACTGGGGGACAATAGAACAGTTTAGGTGTTAACTCTGGGGGATAATAGAACAGTTGCTATGTAAACTCTGGGCGACAAGATAACAGTTTCTGTGTACACACAGGGGGACAAGAGAACAGTTTCTGTGCAAACACTGGGGGACAAGAGATAGTTTCTCTGTTAAATCTGGGGTACAAGAGAATAGTTGAGGTGCAAAAACTGGGGAAAATGAAAACAGTTTCTGTGCAAACACTCAAGGACAAGAGAATAGTTTCTGTGTAAACACTGGGGGACAAGAGAATAGCTGAGGTGCAAAAACTGGTGGACAAGAGAACAGTTTCTGCAGACACAGTGGCGAAACAAGAGAAGTTTCTGGTGTAAACCCCAAATGGTCATTAATTTAGCGGAGGTTCCTTAGATGACTCATCCTACTCTGATAACTGTGGCAATTCTAGAGTTAATATATCCTTACCCAGCTCTTGCTTTATTAGTTCAAAGCCAATCATCGCTGCAGTTTCAGGTTGCGGCCTTTTCCTTGGTGACTTTAGATATCTTTGTGCCGATCACATAGCCTTATGTGCCAGCGACAAATCTTCAAAATTATGTATTGGTGCGTGTGTCCAGTTTATAAACAAAATATTCAATGACAAATGTATATTCAGCTATAAATAAAATATTTAGTCACAAGATATTTGTGTGTATGTATCCAACTTATAAAGAAAATATCACAATAACATAAGTGTGTGTATCCGGCTTTTAAAGAAAATATCCAATTACACATGTTTGTATCCAGCGTATAGAAAAAGTATTTAGTTACATGTATGTGCATCTTACTTTTAAAGAAAATATCTAATTACATATGTGTGGGTGTCCTTGCTTATAAAGAAAAGATTCAATTACACACGTGTGTGTACTCAGCTTAGAAAGAGGCTATCAAACGTATATGTATGTGTATCAAGGCAATCTACAGGTGAACATACAAGACCAATACAAACACAGACTTACTATAGGCCCGTCTCCTCTCTCCAGGTATGGCTGGTTGTTGATGTGAACAATTGCTGGCAGTATAAACTGAAACCAGAGAACAGAACTACTCTTCAGATCATACCACAGGACAGCTCACTGTCGCCAGACATCTCATTTAACTGTAAGAGAGCTCACTATACTATAAGTCAGCACACACTGTCCAGCTCACTCCACCATAACAAGTACACACAGACTCTAGACAGCACACTCCACTGTAAGACAGCATACTCCACTACATGACAGGTGGCGCGGTGATTTATGTCACAGGCGTGAGGGGAAGTTAAGTTCAACATGATGTGTATAAGGAGATACTCCGTACGTCACTCGGGCGCCAGTCCTTCACTATCCTGGTTGTCAGAACCTCACGCAAGACCCCTGCAGCAAGTCCTCGTCGTGCGCCACGGATAATGTCTCAAATGAGCATTAACAGAGCTGTCAGGGGATCTCGGAGTTCGGCGGCCCCCAGAGGTGATGTGTCCTTGTGGCCCTCATCAGCCCGCCCCCAAACGTTTGGGTGAAAAATGTTATCAAAACTCATTAGGAACATGAGTAGGTTTGCCAAACGTACAGCCAAAATTACAACCCTTGGTTAAAAGACTGCGGAGCAAAGAGAACATTGTTCACCGCACATCCTCTATCAACCCTCAGTGTCGTTGTCACTGCGCTGAGGTACACCACAACAGCAACCATCCATAGGCTGGCCATCCTTGTACATCCTCGGTTAACCCTCAGTGTCGTCGTCACCGCGCTGAGGTACACCACAACAGCAACCATCCATAGGCTGGCCATTCATGTACATCCTCGGTTAACCCTCAGTGTCGTCGTCACCGCGCTGAGGTACACCACAACAGCAACCATCCATCGGATGGCTAAGCCTAAATGTCCGACAAAACTAGATCATACGGATCAAAATCTGACCATCAAAATTTGTATTCAACTGAAAAAGACCGAATGTCCACACCCAAAGACCCCACTCGCCCGAGTGTTGGGACAAAACTGATAACGATATGCCTGATGCAGGATGTAAAATTCTGTCGGGCTAACGGCTCGTCAAAGAAATCTAACGTGCGAAAGAAAAAAAAAAGAATGTACCTATCTGTGTGGTCACAAAAGTCCAAAACCCACGGGCTGCTCCCCGCTGACTTCCAGATGGCGCAGCCCCTGTCGAGCGGGAGGCCTGATACGGTTGTGAGGTTAAGCAGGCATGTGCAGGACGTGACGATTCCTTGGGTGAGCCCAGAACCAGAGTACCATGTGCCGGCTCTGCATGCATGGAAGCCTCCTTGGATGGCGGGGAATGCCCATGATCTGCCCCTGCCTTCCCTTGAGGTCTAACTGTTCCACAGGGGGCTGCCCCAAAGGGGTACTCCGGGGGCAATACCTGCGGCGATGGAGACAAAGTGGACACCACACAAATCAGGCAACGTCTCGACCCACACAAAACAATGGCCACAGTCACCCTAGAAATAGGCTGACGTCTTCCTTCGAAGTCGGAGTACAGCTGCCCATGAGGCAGGGAAATGAAAAACGGTTGTACACGCAAAAATCAGGTCCAGGTGAAAGCCAAAAGTCCAAGCGGACGATTAACCGGGACCTACCACTGGAATTCACAGCCGGTGATCGATAAAAAAAAAAAAAAAAACTACATGACGGCTCACTCCACTGTAAGACAGCATACTCCACTACATGACAGCTCACTCCACTGTAAGACAGCATACTCCACTACATGACAGCTCACTCCACTGTAAGACAATACATTCTGACTATAGACAGTTTCAGACAGCAGACTTAAAACCCAGCCAAACACCAGACATCCCATATAACCACCAAAGAATATGTCCTTGGTCTCCATGTGAACACTCTTTGAACAGTAAGGTCAGCCTGCCAGTACTGAGGACAAAGGATTGGGTCAGCTTGCCAGTACTGAGGGCAAATGATTGGGTCAGCTTGCCAGTACTGAGGGCAAATGATTGGGTCAGCTTGCCAGTACTGAGGACAAGGGATTAAGTCAGCTTGCTAGTATATAGGACAAATGATTGGGTCAGCTTGCCAGTACTGAGGACAAATGATTGGGTCAGCATGCCAGTACTGAGGACAAATGATTGGGTCAGCTTGCCAGTACTGAGGACAAATGTTTGGGTCAGCTTGCCAGTACTTAGGACAAATGATTGGGTCAGCTTGCCAGTACTGAGGGCAAATGATTGGGTCAGCTTGCCAGTACTGAGGGTAAATGATTGGGTCAGCTTGCCAGTACTTAGAACAAATGATTGGGTCAGCTTGGCAGGAATTATGACAACTGATTGGGTCAACTTGCCAGTACTGAGGACAAATGATTGGGTCAGCTTGCCAGTACTGAGGACAAGGGATTGAGTCAGCTTGCTAGTATATAGGACAGAGGAGTGGGTCTGTTTGCCAGTAATCAAGCTGGGTCAGCTTACCAGCACTGAGGGCAGAACTGCTATATGGACAAGGTTAGTGAATAATGATAAACCTCTGACACTAACACTACTGCATGACATGGGGGTATAGCATGGTGAAGCACAGCAATGCCACCTTTGAAGCTGAAATAGGAGAATTAGAGGTATCATGGAGTAGCAGCTGCATTGGAGGGCTGAGCCCAGATGGGAATGCCCAATGTGTGGTGATGTCACTGTGCCAACAAAACATAACAGCCCAAATCATAAGTGAGATCCTAGCAGAGACAAATTCTGCACCTACCGCCAGAGTTTTTCCCGAGCCAGTCTGAGCAATGCCAACCATGTTAAGCCCTGAGAGAGCAATGGGCCAGCCCTGTGATTGGATAGGTGTGGGTGCCTGCCAGCTGTTCTTCCTGATCTGAGCCATGACATAATCTGAAACAGATATCACAAAAATGCAGTCTTATCTACTGTGTTCACATGCTGCCATCCACTACATACACACAACCATACCTACAAACACATGCTGCCATCCACTACATACACACAACCATACCTATAAACACATGCTGCCCTTCACAAACACGCATGATGGCCTCCAACCACAGAAACTATGCCCCCCCCCACACACACACACACACACCGCATTCAAATCCAACTGCAACTCGCTGCAGCCCACGGCCAATGTTCAAAACCGGGCAGTTCCCGGGGTTCACCCAGCCTCTAGGTAATGGGTACCCGAGTTAACACTCTGGGGTAAATGAAGAAACATTGCTGTAGCTACAGAGTTGCGTGCGGACGGTGACACAGGCATTTCTCATCAGCTGTCTGTACTGGTGAGAGAGCACTGATGGTTTATAACGGTGTACAATGACGCTGGTTTACATCTCCCAACTTTACCTTTACACACACACATACATGGTGTCCTCCACTCCATACAAACAACTACATCTATAAATATACAAACATTTGATGGGCTCGACTCAAACCCCAGACATATTCTAACTGCCTTCTAGATTTTAGGAATATTGAGGGGTAAGGGTCATTTTAGCCGTCAACATTCAATGAGCAGGCAAAAAGTTTTTTCTTTCTTCTTCAAACCTCTAACAAATACAAATATTTGTATTCCCAGGGTCAGAGCCATGGTTTCTGGATACAGCCTAGTAGTGTCACCTCTGACCTTCTGCTTCTCCATTAAATGGATACTCAAAATATCTGGCAAATAAAGAAGCTGACCACTTCACCCAGCAATATAATGGTCAAGAACATGAAATAAATGTTTTACCACATACCTCTCCCTACAGATAAATCTCCCCCGGGGTTACTTTCGGTATAAATAGTTTAATATCAAAGGCACCAAAAAACACAGACTCACAGAGCAGAGATGTTTTTTTAGAAGAATGCAAAGAGTATCTTAAAGTGGAAAAAATAGAAATTACTACCAAACAAATGTCTATTAACTGCCCATACAGAACAGAGTGACTACATGGTTTGACTGCATCACTAATGTAGAGCTTCGAGGGATAACCCAGAACCCAGGTGATGTACAAGACACTCCACTCCTGCCAGGCTCCAGGCAGCCATGTGCTACACAAGATACTCCTATCATGTTCTATGTAATCATGTGACAGACAAAACATTTCTTTCATGTTCTAGGCAGCCACGTGCCACAAGACACTACTATCGTGTTTTAGGGACCCATGTGACACACAAGACAATGCCATGTGATATACAAGACACCCCTGTCACGTTCCAGGAAGCTATATGACACACAAGACACCCGTCATGCTTCAGGAAACCAACAAATCAGAGACACAACTGACCTGGAAAGCAGCCTTCTTCAAATGTAAAGATAGGTTTGGGTACAAACTCTCCATGGACAGTGATCTGGTTGGCCTGGTAAAACTGCTGGATCTCCGCCTATGAGGGAGACAATACAAACAAGTAACATCAGTGTTATGTGTGGGAGAGTGGGGAACAATAATACTGTGTGTGTGACCTGATTGGCCAGGTAAAACTGCTGGATCTCCGCCTATGAGGGAGACAATACAAACAAGTAACATCAGTGTTACGTATGGGAGAGTGGGAAACAATAATACTGTGTGTGTGACCTGATCGGCCAGGTAAAACTGCTGGATCTCCGCCTATGAGGAAGACAATACAAACAAGTAGCATCAGTGTTATGTGTGGGAGAGTGGGAAACAATAATACTGTGTGTGTGACCTGATCGGCCAGGTAAAACTGTTGTATCTCCGCCTGCAAGGGAGAAATTATATACAAGTGGGAACATCTCTGTATGGCAAGGGGGAGAGGGACGTTAGTGTTGAATGTGGAAGGGGGGGGGGAGGGGGGAGGGGGGGGAGAGAAAGGGACATTATTGATGTGTGTGATCTGGCTGGCTTTTGCTACGAAACTGTCGCTTAATGGCCTGGAAAAGTCTCACAGCAGCTGATTTTCAAATAGCCAGGTCTTTCTTAATGCCTCCATTTCAGTTTATTACAACTCCTAGTTATTTAAACTGGCTGACCCAAAATGATCTGGTGTTTCTTCTCTCTTGAGATCACCATGGTTTTAGCTTTGAGCTTACTGATGGTAATCCCTCTCTTCTTCTTCTCTTCTTTAGTATTCTGAGCCCTTGAAGTTCACTGCTGCAAATATAACCCACCTCCGTTCATCTCTCTGGTTGGCCTTCTCTTTCCAGTTGGTGACACTAAGTGTTTGCAGGTTTGCCTGGACATTATCTCTCCATCGTCTTCTTGGTCTGCCCGGTTGTCTGCGACCATTCATCGCCCTCTCTTTTCAAATAATAAATAAATAACTCTCTTCTCAAGCTCTTCCTTTGAGGCAAATAAGTTGGACTGAAGATGTGCCTCTGATTTAACTATCAGAGCCCCATCATCTGCAAACACCAGGTATGATAAATCGTAGTCTGTAAGCCATGCAGGTTCATCACCATTAAGATCTGTAAAACAATCACAATCTGAGATCTCACATAACACGAATCTGAAATCTTACATACCAGTCATGTAACACAAACCTGAGATCTCACATACCAGTCAGGTAACACAACCTGAGATCTCACATACCAGTCAGGTAACACAGACCAGAGATCTCACATACCAGTCATGTAACACAAACCTGAGATCTCACATCCCAGTCAGGTAACACAAACCTGAGATCTCACATACCAGTCAGGTAACACAGACCAGAGATCTCACATACCAGTCATGTAACACAAACCTGAGATCTCACATCCCAGTCAGGTAACACAAACCTGAGATCTCACATACCAGTCAGGTAACACAACCTGAGATCTCACATACCAGTCAGGTAACACAGACCTGAGATCTCACATACCAGTCAGGTAACACAACCTGAGATCTCACATACCAGTCAGGTAACACAGACCTGAGATCTCACATACCAGTCAGGTAACACAACCTGAGATCTCACATACCAGTCAGGTAACACAGACCTGAGATCTCACATACCAGTCAGGTAACACAAACCTGAGATCTCACATACCAGTCAGGTAATACAGACCTGAGATCTCACATACCAGTCAGGTAACACAACCTGAGATCTCACATACCAGTCAAGTAACACAGACCTGAGATCTCACATACCAGTCAGGTAACACAGACCTGAGATCTCACATACCAGTCAGGTAACACAAACCTGAGATCTCACATACCAGTCAGGTAACACAAACCTGGAATCTCAAATACCAGTCAGGTAACACAACCTGAGATCTCACATACCAGTCAGGTAAAACAAACCTGCAATCTTACACATCGGACAGATTACACAAACCTGATATCTCACAAACCAGTCAGGTAACACAAACCTGAGATCTCACATACCAGACAGGTAGCACAAACCTGAGATCTTCTGGCAACATCAGGGTGCTCGTGGTAAAAGTTCTTCTCAAATTTGGGCAGTTTTGACAGATCCCATTTTGGTTTCCTCAAGTTCTGTCCAGGCTCTGATCCTTTCTGAAATGATCTTCCATCTCTGTCTGATCGGCCTCCCCTGTCAAAACCTCCACTGCCTCGGCCTCTGTCAAATCTTCCTCTGGATCCACTATCAGATCTGCCAATGATCAAACATATCAACTTGGGATATAAATTCACAGCCATGCCGTCACACAGACAAACATATCAACAAGCAATATAAATTCACAGCTACTGACTGACACTAATACAAGCAGAGACAAGATCAGATGATGACATCATTATCATTATGTGCCATGCTGTCATATAGGCAATCAATAAACTCTGCTATGTACTTAATCGTCGGCATATGTGGCCTACGCGTTGGAAATGCGCTTTGTAATGCCGGGTTCAATCCCAGCTGCGGGCCTTGCATTGGTTTCGACAGTGGTATCGAGAAGCCCATCGTCCAGAAAGCTTTGGCAAAATACTAGATTTGCCAAGAAAAACCATGCAACGGTTTTGCCTTGTCTCTAGCAGCCTTGAATATGACATGCTAGAAAAGATACAATGTCAACACTAAAGGAATACAGAAAGTCAAACCTGGTGCTTGGAGAATGTTGTGTCATGTGAAAGGACCAGTGCACTTGAGTGCATGGCCAAATGAGACAACAGAGAATTCAGTTGTGGCCATGGACACTATGTACCATATGATGTCAAGAAAATAGGGTTGACTTCAGTGGAGCTCACATCCAGGCATGAATGTTGTAACGGGCGACTAAGGGTCAGTTTGGACATGGGCTAGCTACCCCATCACTACAGTAAAACTCTACTGCCATAAAACCCACATAATCACGATCTAATGTAACAAAGCAATAAGCTGCATATTTAATTTATCACCTCTACACCCTAAGGTAGAAGAGGAGCAACTAAGTAGTTGGTTAGTTGTGCATCCTTTACAGGACATTGCAGAACCAAACCCAACAGCCCCTGGCTGTTGTGTGGTTTTTCTAGGCAAATTTACGTCCAGTAGTTTGCCATTGCTCTCTGGACGGTCAACTAAGTAGTAAAGTACGTTTAATTTATCTTGCATCTGATTCCTTGAGTGGGATAGAAGAGAAATATCATCTGCGAAGTCCAGATCATCAAGCTGTTTTGTAGGAGTCCATTGGATTCCATTCTTGGTGTTAGCAGTTGCTGTCTTCAATAATCCAGTTTATTTGCAGACAAAAGACATCCCTGTCGCACACCTGATCTGATCTCAAATGTATCCATCAGCTCTCCTTCACGAAAAACTCAAAATTGCATGTCTGTATATGTTGCTTTTACTAAGTTAATAATTTTCTGTGGGATTCCAAATGCCCCATCAATTGCCAGAGTGATTCCCTATCAGTGCTGTCAAAGGCTTGCTCAGTCTATGAATCAAATGTAAAGTGGCGAATTCAAATCAATGATTCGTTCTACTATTATGTGTATGTGGCTATCTGGTCAGTAGCCTGTCTGTTCCTCATTTAGCATTTTTATCAATATCAACCTTTAGTCTTTCCAAAATAATCCTACTTAAAATTTTTCCAGGAACTGTCAGCAACATAATTCCTCTATAGTTTTCCCCAAATTCGTAGAAGTGTTTACACTTGCCGTTATAACTTCTGCTGGGATAACATCGGGACCTGCAGCCTTCCGTCCTTTAGAAGATTGACAGCTTTCCTAATTTCCTCCTTTGTATCTCACAGATAATATCTAGTCCACTCTAAAGGCTGGATATCGGGGAGAAGGGGGGGTTCTCCGGGGCTGGTTTATTCAAACAAAAATATTTTAAAATGTTCAGCACATCTTTCCACTTGATCTTTAGTGTTAGTCAGTACCTTTCCTTGACTATTTTTGATTGATCCAGTCGGCCGATCACAATTGTTAGCATTAAAATGTTTTTGCCTTAGTATAAAAAAATGTATGTTTCATCTTTGTCCTAGCTGTTAAAACAGCGTGCTAGCTCCAGTGTTCATTATTCTTTATTGCATTTACTGGGGGAGCTGATCTGTTTGTAACTGCTACTTCAATTGATGATGAACTTTATTTCTAATGTGGACTGTTTGTGTTAGCATTTCTGTTGGCTATCTTCTGAATAACGGTCCCAAATTATCGGGGCAGAAAATATACCCTAACAGAGCCTGTTACATGTCAATTGCACACTTCTGGGGACTAGACCGCCACCGCCGAATTGCGTACTTCCGGGGACTATACCGCTGAGAGTATTCACGTGGATTGGGGCTAAACTAAATGGCTGGGACTCACGGGCAAATAAAATGAAGGCAGCTGCAGGAAATGCGGTAGCTACTGCTCGTCCCAGCCATCTAGTTTAGCCCCAATCCACGCCGCATGAGCAGCGTTTGGGATACTCTCGGCAGTGGCGCAAGTCGCCGGAAGTGCGCAATTGACACGTGACTGAGGCTCTGTTAGGGTATATTATCTGCCTCAATAATTTGGGACGGTTATTCAGAAAGAGCAGAGGAACAACTGAGCACATCTTCACCCTATGTAACATTTTAGATCAATGCAATGAATGGCAGAGAAGTATATATATTAATGTTGTGGACTTTGAGAAAGCTTTTGTCAGCGTCCATAGAGACAGTCTCTGGAAAATTTTACGACATTAAGGAATTCCAGAAAAGACAGTCAACATAGCTCTCTTCTATAAAGATTTTTCCTGCAGTATAAAAAATTACAATTACTCCGAATAATGGTCTCAAATGATCTACGCAGAAAGTAAACCCTAACAGAGCCTCACTGATATCTAAAATTCGCATATTTTTTGGGACGAATCAACCCCGTCAAAAGTAGGCTTAATTGCGCACGACATTTTCGCGAAACACAACGGATTTTTTTACGATGATTATTAAACGGCGCCAAAACTAGGATTAACTACGGACGAAAAATTAGCGGCACGCAAGAATACTCCCGATAGCGCTATCCTACGGCAGGGCCCGAGTTATATGTAAGTTGTGGACAGCTTTTCGCCGACTATAGTGCCACCTCCGAGCGTATCCCCGCACCGCTACACGCGGCGAGGAAGGGGCTAAACTAGATGGCTAGAAGTCAGAGCAGCAGCTACCGCAGCTCCTGCAGTTTCCTCCAATGTATTTGCTTGTGAGTCCTAGCCATCTAGTTTAGCCCCTTACGCGCCGCACATAGCGGCGCGGGGGATACTCTCGGAGGTGGCACTATAGTTGCCGGAAAAAAAGTCTACAATTTACCGGAGCTACTTCTTCTGTCGGAAGTAGCAGCGTGCTCGCATTCGCCACGGTCAAGGGGTGTTTGGGATAGTGGAGCGTCATCGTGGCGGCTGCTGGTTTGAAGTTGTCCCATGGCGACATGCGCGTACATTAAACCGCGCATTACTGATCATGTCTCGCCCGGAACGAGAATCGCAGACAAGCAGTGCTGAGTTGCAATGGCGGACAGCGAGAAAGAACAGATATTCGCACACTATTTGCAACTTCTGTGCCACAATTTTCACATATAAAGGATTTAATTTTCGGTAAGTAGTAGACTTTGCCCTTTTCCTTACACTTTTTGTTCCTTATTTTTTCCGAGCTACACCTTTTAAATGTTTGTAAAGCAGGATGTAATGAGGCTCTGTTTTGGGTTCACTTTCTGCGTAATCATTTGGGACCGTTATTCAGAGGAGAGCCCATCTTTCCAAGTAAAGACAGGGATGTGTCATGTCATCTCTCCTCTTTAACCTTGTGATTGATTGGATACTAAAAAACACAGTAGACAAGACATTGAAAGGCATAGGTGGACTCCATTCACCATGCTTGAGGACCTTGATTTTGCAGATGATATAGCACTGCTATCACATAAACATATACAAGAGAAAAGTAACAGACTACACAGCACAGCAGAGATGGGGGGGGGGGGGGCTAACTGATTATACATTTTCATTTGTTTTTATTATTAGTAGCACTAGTAATTTAGCATCAAGACGGTGGCGATGTATCACTGCGTCGTGCTGCAAGTTTTACTTTTAGTTTTGCAATAACTTACTGCCAGTCTCTATCACTATCAGTGGATAAGAAAGCGTATCCGTATACTATATTCTACCTATAGTCGAATGACACTGTGTGTCGTGACCCACCCGTTCACGTTTTTACAATAGAAGAAGTTATTAGGTGCCTTCTGTTTGAGTGATATTTCCCAAAGTCCAGGCTCTGATGGCCAATATTAGAAATAGAAATCAAAATATAAAAGTGCATCGGAGAACAGCCAGACAAAATGGAGGACAGCCTTACTGTTAGGCTGACTAGTGTCCGACTTTCTTTTGGAATCACAGAAAAAATTAAAAGCAGATGTAAATGTGTACAATCTATGGTTTGTGAAATGATAAATGCAGAGAGCATACCCCCTGTTCCTGCTAAACGACATATCTGATAGAATAGTTTGTGTGAACCAAGTCTTGGGTCTCTGGTTTTCGACAAGGACGACGGTCGATGGCGTCTTTGCGTGTGCCAGTTTTCTGCACAATATAGAATATAGGCCAACTGGCTTTTTTTTTTAAATCTGACCTGCTATATATTCAGTTGTTCTTTGTAACTATACATACTGAGATTGGAATAAGAAACATGCTGCCCGCAATATCAGTCTGCAGCTATACCTTCTGAGATTGAAATATGAAAGATTCTGCTCGTAATATCATTCTGTAACTATTTCTTGTATATTTGATTAGAAAATAATTCTCTGTAGTTTATATTGCTCCTCTGTTAGTGGAATCCATAAGGCAAACAAAGAATATTAACACTGTAACACACTGCTTGGATTTTGACAGTGGTACTGAGTGCTGACAGTTCCGTAAGCAATGGCAAACTACTGAACTTTAAATTAGCTAGTAAAACCAAAACAGCCAAATATGCTGGGGTGGTTCTGCGATGTCCTGTAAAGGATATACAACTAACTTGTTTAAACTACAATGGCACCTTGATATACATTCATTTTCTGATAAGTCCAGCTTGGTATATTTCCTATTTAGACGCTAAACATTTCGCTCAGTATGCGACTTTTGTTTGAAATATGTCTCGCATTCTAGAGTAAAAATCAAACTTGCTGCTTCAGCCAGATCCAAGAAGGGAAAAGAGACAGAAAAAAAAAATAGAAGAGAGAAAAACA